ATAAAGTAAGGTTTTCTACATAAGTTAGTACATATATGAACACAGGCGGCCCAAGCGTACTGTGTGTGATTTTGAGGTCTAAATAAAGTTCATTAACGGAAATAACTAACATATTTTAAAAGATCTAATTTTAAGCGTATGTGTGGGCGTTAGAAGGAAAAATTATAAAAAAAAAATTCATTAGAAATTTAAAAGGATAATTAGAGTAAGGAATAAAACGTGCGAGGGCTCCTTACCTTTTTCCGTAGCCGCTTTATTGCCAACGATCGTTTTAACGCTGTTTTGGCGACCTTCTTTGTAAAGCGTGCGGTGTCACCAGTCAACTGTATAATAGGAAAAAAATTATAAAAAGTTGAAAAAAAGTTAAAAAGGATAATAAAAGCGAGTAATATATCATATGAGGTCTCTTTACCTTTTTTCCGTAGCCGCTTCGTCGTTTACGGTCTTTTTAACGCTGTTTTGGCGACTTTCTTTGTAACGCGTGTGGTGTTAAAGCGCCTCGGGTCGAGTTGCACGCACGACTCTCCAAACAGTGTTGTTTGACGATAGGGCAAAGTTAACAACCTTCCTAACGATCCCCTAGAGAGTCAGATAGATAGATAGATAAATAGCCTTTATTTTAAAACGACGAGTATTAAGGCTACATGAGCTTGTGGGGTCGTTTGCAATGAACTAATCACTAAATGTACTAAATACTAAAACCTAGGGGTACGTAGAGAACGTCTAAACTTAAGCCAACGGTGCTTACGAATGTGAAATTGTAAACCTAAATTGAAATATAAACAAAGTCATCTTTTTTAAAATTGCAAGTGGATGCAGACGTTATGTTAAAACTGAATTCAATAAAATTAACTAGAAATTTAAGCTTTAGCCTGAGGTCATGATATGAAATACTTTTAGTCAGGGCACTACAATTGTTAGTCACTGCATTCCACAGGACCGAGCCTCTAAACGCAACAGAGTCCTTAATGTAGCCCGTGTTGAAGCGTGGAACAATTAAGGAAGTGCAAGCCCGAGTTGAATAATTTGTGGCCCGTTTCTTAAAAATCAGATCGATTAGTATAGCAAGTAACTTATCGTGGAAAGCTTCATGAAAACAAATAAAAATGTCTGATTTCTAATAAATAGACGGATTTCGGCCATTGGGCCCGTTGTATGACATCGCCATGCTGTGTCAATCGGAAAATGAAAAATAAGTTTCGCAGCCCTACGATGAAGTCTTACCAGGGACTGAAATAAGTCGGAATTGCAGCAAGATCCCCATAGTATAGGACCATAAGTCACTGAAGGCAAAATGACCTTAGAATAGAGATTCTGACGAATGGTACCGGTCCCAGGGAGATATCTCGACTTCTTAAGTAATCCTAGTTTTTTAGCAAATCATTTTTTTAAGTTCCAGCATATGCGGAGTCCGGGTCAGTTTCTAATCGACGGTCATTCCCAGTAATCGTGATTTCGATACCCATTCAATTGTAGAGTTTTCAATGAAGATCGGGGGCATTTCTTCTAGAGATTAGCATGGCCTTACTTTTACTTGGGTGAGGTGTTAATCCTATTAGTGAGGCACCACTCGTTTAGTTCACGGAGTGTAGAATTTAACTGGGCGATACTATTTTCTTCTGTGTCGCTTATGCAGTAAACCGTTGTGTCGTCGGCAAACATGTAAACGCATCCGGACGACACAAAGGACGGGAGATCTTCGTGAAGAGAGTGAAGAGCGTTGGCCTCAAAACGGACCCTTGAGGAATTTTATTTGATCAGATGCACTATAATATTTGAATCCCGTAGTAAGGGCAAAAGGATTACGCATACCTACAAAGCGATTTAGCCAGAATAAGTAGTAAAACGGAGCGGTTCTCGGATCGATGCAACGGGAATTGGAAACTTTTGCCACTGGAACGGGTAGGTAATAGCTAAGCGCTCTCGCGGGTGGAAATTTTTTGGGAGATCGGTCGGTTTTTGTGAAATTTATCGGCATTCGAGTGGCGGCGGTTGGTGTTCAAGACTGGTTGAGGTTTCCAGCCTTGAGGTTTTTTATGCACAGTTAACCGGTAGCACCACACGTGTTACATAAAAAGTCGCCAAAACAGCAGTAAAAGGACCATAAGCGAGAAAGCGGCCACGGAAGAAAGGTATAGAGACTTCATACGATATATTCCTGGTTTTTATTATTCTTTTTAATTTATTCTTAATTTATTTTATAATTTTTCCTATTATACAGTTGACTGGTGACACTGCACGCGTTACAAAGAAGGTCGCCAAGACAGCGTTAAAACGACCGTTTGGCAACAAAGCCGCTACGTAAAAAAAGGTAAGGAGACTTTACACGTTTTATTCTCGCTTTTATTATTCTTGTAAATTTTTCTTAATTTGTTTTTTTTAGTACATACGCTTAAAGTTCGATCTTAATATGTTAGTTATTGCCATTAATGAACTTTAGACCCCAAAATCCCACACACTCACGTGCAACCCTTATTTGATATCGGGAATTATGGACTCTCAAGCGTTTTAATACATAATGTTACATACTATTACATAATACTACCCATGAGATGACTGAGGTATCCTGTAATTTGACAAGTTATGTAGGGTCATTGCCACATAGAAGGTAATACTAAAAACAGTGATCATGAAAAGCTATTAATGATGATAATTGTAATAAAAAGCAAATGTCCTCTAGCATATTTTTACTTACTAATTGAAAGAGTAACCAAGTATGAGCTAGATTATCGTGAGTAGCTCAAAATAGGATGTAACAAAACTAAAAAAATTGTGAAAGTAAGTATGAGCAAGATTTCGTCCAATTTGGATGTGAATCGCTTTCATATATCCACACTGTTTTGGCTTGAAATTCTAAGAGACGTGTTAGTGGCTTTTATTCCCGCTTTTTATCACAAAGGGAATTAAACTCGAGAAACTTCTGAATAGTCAATAGGGAACGAAATGAATAAGTAAATAAATATATGGAAGTAACGGAAGAGATATATTTTAACGTGCTTCATAAAGGTATGCTAGATTTGATACAGTGCTAAGCGATTTGAAAACAATTAGCCGCAGTGAGATAATTATTCGGTTTTGCAAAATAAGTGGTCTTTATTATTCCTAATAGTTTTGTCTTGACTTAAATAACAACATCTTACATCATTGATATCATCAAGGGTTCTTGGAACACAACAGCTTAGTGACCAACCCTGTGAGGTTGTGGAGGTTACTATGACAACATGTCACCTGGGAATTGCAAATATGGTTTCCTTCGCGGAAAATTTAACTCCTCATTTGATAATCCTTCAGCCGTTTTACTGTACGTATTAAGCTACTGTTTCCACGACTTTCATTTGACTCATTTAAACAATGTTAGAAAACATTTTCTAGACGTTCAGCTCCTCCCTGTGGCAATAAAATAGTGCCAATACAATACAATACTTTATTTATCCAAACTACATCTAGGAGTGATTAAAAACTCGTTAAAACATGTTAAAAATATAAAATGTTAAACATAATAAAATATATGAAGTTCATATATTTTGTACTGCGGTATAAGATACATATGATGCACGATCCTCGCAGTAGATAGCGCTAATTAAGCAATAGCGAAAATCAGACCTGAAAAAAATCTCACTGTATCTCATTTATCACTTTCACGGGTTTCATCTCTCTATGTTCATTGTATCTCATTTATTACTTTCACGGGTTTATTACGAGTCAACTTAACGGCCTGCTCCCAGTTGGCTTGTTAGCTCAATTGGTAGAGCACTGCACTAGTATCGCAGAGGTCAGTAGATCGAATCCCGTACAGGCCTGATTTTTTTCAGGTCTGATTTTCGCTATTGCTTAAAATAGCGCTATCTACTGCGAGGATCGTGCATCATATGTATCTAATACCGCAGTACAAAATATATGAACTTCATATATTTTCATTGTATCACATAATAAAATGTTAAAACATTAAGAAAGCTACCCTAGACTCTGTCCGAAAAAAGCCTTCCTCTTTTTACCCAGGAAAAGGGATTGGGATACAAGCCTATAAAATAATTTTATATTCTCGAGTTTTCTCTATTGCATCACCGAAGCCAAAAAATCGTCTTTTGATAAAACCACCTGTAAGTTCTCAGTGTCGAACTTTTTAATAATTGTCGGGCTTTGTGATAACACTTGTCGCATTTTGTGATAAAAAAAGCTGTTGCGTCTGACGTTTAACCTCTTTGAAATGCAAATCAAGTAATCGAACTAAAACGGAGAAAAGTTTTTTGAGTCAGGAAATTGTGTGGTAGAATTTAATAAATACTTGCATGAACATGTTGCCGAATCAGTCCCTCCGGCGAAGTCAATGATATTTCAGTTTCGACGAGTAGCTTCATCTTTCTTGATCAATAGATGGTAATGGTTTTCATTCGTGCAGATGGACAGATGGGACACTCGCATTAACGTCTGGAGGCCAAGATGGCTTTTGCGACTAACCGTTGAAGTTTGGCCATTTTATGGCATACGTTTAACTGTTTTTTTATTTTCCATCCCGTTAAAAAGAAAAAATCTCTAGTTTGAAAATTTTTGTTCGACTTATTGCTAAAATAGGTCAATTTTTTTATGCCTGACGGCTAATATTTTTTGCTATTTCACAACCAACGGTAAATTGTAATGTGACTCTGCTAATTCATTAGACAAATACTGTTTTAAGCGAGGCTCATGAATTAGTTTTTAAAATAAATAAAAGCTTACTTTACTGACTTACAATAATCTGCCGTGCTATTACGAGCTTTTTCATATCGTGTTTTTCCTAGTCATTACTGCGTAAAACGGCACTCTGCACCTGGTGAAAACAATCTGATTGGTCCGTTTATGACGGAAAAAATACAGTTTAAATACACTCACGTCAGAAAAAAAAAACATGGAGTCTTGTTATGTCTATTAACTTTTACCTCCTGCAAATGTGTTTGAAATTCGTTTAAAAACTTGCCGCACAAGGGTTGCGAATCAAGTCACGAGCCGTTGGTAACTTATGTGTGTCTTAAAGCTGAAAAATTGGGTGGTGAATAAGAATTAATCTGGTAAAATGTTCACAGCCCTGTCGATACGTTGTTTCCTGAGTGAGTACAAGCTTTGCTACATTTCTTGTTTAACCTTTAGGCAGGTAGCGACTGATTTGGCAAAGATATCTCAGTATTAGAATATCCCACAGCCCGGCCTCAGCCAAAATGAACTACAAAAGCGATAGTTAGGAGGGTCTGTTTTAACTTGTTGATAATTTAACAAATTCACTTGAGGAACGTCTGCTTAGTTTTATCATGGAAGATAAATGAGTTGGTAAATGAATAAATGAATAAAACTTTTGGAGGAGAAGTGTGTGACGATTTTTTGGAATGGTACTTTAGTCTCAATGCAACATTGGTTAAGAAAGAATTAAACTATAGAAAGGCAATTTTATCGGTTTTAAATTATTATTCATGATTGTTATGTTTTGACGGTCTGTGCAACAGCTTTGGGCAACGATATAAAGTGTCAATGGAAGAATAGAATAAATAGTAACAATAGTAATGACAAAAGTGGGAAACATCATCTACGGTAAACAGAAGGCAAGTTTTCTTTATGGAAGAAAGTGGAGTATTCTGGAATTTTTCTCTGAACAAACTCCACCTCTTTGTAGAAAAAGTTAATTCCAACCCTCGAAGGGAAAATATTTCGAGTTTTCAATGTTTCCGTCGTTTCCTTGATTCAGATGGATTCAAACGTCTTAGTTTAACACACCCTAACTAAAGTTTTAAAATAGCCACACAAACTGGTCAAACTGGTGATCTTTTATCCGTGATTCCTACAAAATTACTTTACCGTATTAAGAGTAATATTACTACCATGATGGTAAATGTATCTTTTAACATTCTCTCCTGTAGTTGTCGTGATAGTGAGCTTCAAAGGAGCTGGTAAGTCTGCAAAGTTAGATTATTTCTAACATTTTCCCCTCAAAAACCATTGACCTGATAGAAAACAGAAACAATCAAAAAAAAAAAAAAAACTAATAACGAAAATAAAATTAAAATGAGGAACCAAATCGAACATCCCAAAAATAGCTCATTAATCTAACGTGTAGAAGACGACCTACCGTCACAGCACAACTGATGCGAAAGTCAGATGTAGGTGAGTGTTGAAAAACAAAAAAGCAAAGTTCGTCGAAAAAAGTTATATTTCAGATCCCCAATCTACCACTTATAGGTTAAAATCACTAAAAAAACACAAAAGAAGAATAAACCCAGATATTAAAAGCAACGACAACAGAGGTAATTTTAGGTTACATATTCTGAGCAGAAGTCATCTCTTTGTTTGTGAAGACATAATTAGATTTCTAATTGATTTTGATATTAAGTTTTCAACATGTCAAAAGTGTTTGTTCTTGTTTTTAATTCCATTTTTCTAAGAAAGCCAAAGAAACCGTAACTGTACTGAAGGTTCCTGCTACGTGTTTAAGAAAGAAGAAAACACATGGAAGGACGCCAGAACATCTTGTCAACAACAGAAAGGCGACCTAGTTTCCATTGAAACCGAAGAAGAGTGGGACTTTATCAAAGGCGTAATAAAAAATTACACTAATCAAAACAGTACGACTCGGTGGCAGGTTGGTTTGGAAAAAAAAGCTGGCAAGTGGATCTGGGTGACGGGAAGACCTCTTACCATTTGTAAATGGGGAAAAAACCAATCAAATGGAAATGGAGATGTAGCTAGTATAACATGCATAGGAAAGAGCCAGACCATTCTTTCGGATGTTCCAAGGAATACATCTGGACCTTTTATTTGTGAAATTACCAAAGGTAAGATAATAAACAGAAACTATGAAGTATTTGAATAAGAGGATCCAGTTTTCTACCTCGGACAGAATTGGCTATGAGTAGCTATAGATGTGTTAATAGATACGATTCGTATTTTTCACTAATGCGAATATTAGATGCCCTTAACCTTAATTTTATCATTACTTTATTGCAAAATAGTGTTGCTAATGGACCAATTGGTTCTTTTCCCACGTTTAATATTCAACTTCGGTGCATCAATTGCAATATTTTGGGCATCCTTTAGGTACTGGACATAATAATTCGCAAGGTATCTGCAAGCACGTCGGAATACCATGCGAACTGGAGTATGGCAAGAGGAGCTGGGCACAGAATTGTAAATTTGCTGCCTATGATTGCAAACTAAACTGCACTTACGAGCCCCCTTCCGGAAAATTTAATGAAGAGTGCGATGAGACTTTCAATCCATATGTACAACAATGCTCCTACAAATCACACGCAGGTAGTACCTATCACCAGATCTGCAACGTTACAAAGTGTAATCTGACAGAGGGCGAACAGAAATGTACCACCAACAACACTTGCTATTGTGAAGGTGATCAGTGTAATCACACTCGCGGTCACGAAATGTGTACGCAAACTTGCATAGGATTAAAATCCGGTTAGTAAACAAAAAATCCATCAGTGTTATTTATCACTGACATGTTCAAAGTGTTTACTTAATAACCAATGTGAAATAGATTTAAGACGCGTTTTGTTTTTGTTGTCGTCATTGGTTATACTTGTGCTAAGGATAGGCGGAGAGATGTTTCCCTAATAGATGAGGGATCATCTGTAAAACAAATGGAAACAAATGCAAAAATTAGAAATATGCAACAAGAAATCATAATTCTTGAATGGATTTTTAAGCTTTTTTTTTTTTATTTTCAGGGGAGGCATCATCATACTCGCTATCGCCGTCGCCATCACTGTCACAAACGCCATTGCTGTGTAAAACGCCTTCGATGTCGCCGTCGCCGTTGCAGTCACCGTCGCTACTGATGTCACTATCGCCGTCGTCACAGATATCATCAACATCATCATCATCATCTGCATCGCTTGCAAAATCAGTTCTAAAGTTGGTGTGTGTTTTAATAAATCGAAGTCCTTGTACTTCTCATTTTTCTTGATCTTTGATGGCGCTTAATAAAAATGATTGTCAATTGATTTATCCTAGGCAAATATATATCTTTCCGAACTTCACAGAATCGATATCACCAAAAATACTTCTTTGCAGGTATCTGAGTTTGATATTGACTTATCTATTATTATGTAAAATGCATGTGACATAGCTAGTGACGTGCCCGATAATGACGACTAAACGATTCGTTGAACCAAATTTTCAAAGCAGAAGCTTAATGGTGTCACGAAATATTACATGTAATGAAGATATCAAAATAATTGGAGAGTTGATCCTCGAGGTAGAGTTCTATGAATAGCAATGGAGGGTAAATGATGGAAGACTAATTCTATCCTACTTCATTATCTTTAGCTGGTGCTCGCTCTTGATATCAGTACATATCAGTTGGGTTGTCGTAAGAATTTCCTAACTTTTTAATTTTCTTTTTTATAATTTTCTGATGGTTAGATAAGGCCGTAGAACGTATTTTCATATCTAGAGGTAAAGACACAGGAAAAATGAAATAATAACCGAGTTGTAATGCCTTTTATTCAACGTTTCTCATTGAATACGTGCGGACATTTTGCATATTGTTCGTATCGTACTTCTAGTCTAATACTAAACTGGACGCACTGGTGGGCGTGTGCGAAGCTGGCGTGAACAGATAAGCTAAACTTTAGAACTTAACTCTCACTCGCCAGGTACGTACTGAACACTCGGATCTTTAATTTGACTGATGCTCGTTACAGCTGCTTTACAGCTTACCAAATGAGTTTTCTATATAATTACAGACGGCTATGAGGATCTTTGAACACTTCATTATCAGTATTGAAAACATCTCAAATCTTTCCGACGGCCAGTCTGATATGGAAAAAGTAGGACAAAGGAGAGAATCCATCTTTAAGGTGGCAGTCGTCCTTGAAGAAATTGCCATAAATTATAGCAAGCATCATCTGCTCAGAACAAACCATTCAAAAAGGATCCATAGCCAGAAGATGGGTGAGTCAAAACACAGTTATCTATCAAGACTTATGACTATCCATTTCTAGGTTATATAGACTACAAGGGAGTATTCCTGAATGAATTTAATCTCGAGATAATTGATTTTTTTGCCGTCGTTTGTTGTTTCTTTTCTTGTTAGTTCTGAGTATCTACAGGGCCTCTAGGCGACGCGCAAGCGGATTCCATTCATGGAAAGAAGAAGGGCAAGCGAGCATAAATGTTTCCTCTGCAAATTTTGCGGACTATGGTTTGTATTAAAAGCCTTCTAAACTTTTAAATGTATAACTCACTGTATTTGTGTTGCGATGATATTTTCATTATAAATGATAAAGTATATAATCAACGTGCTTTTATATTTTGTTTTGACCTCTCTCCTTTAAGGACAAGTTGTTATTGGCTGTGTGTACAAGGATCTCCATCAGTTACTACAGTTGAAACGGCCCATAAAGAAAAACATAGGCATTACAAGGTTATTTAACTTCTTGTTTGCAGTTTTTATCACCCATCAATACGTGAAACTAGTTTCACTTTTAACCAAGTCGATGTCACAAAACCTTTACCGCGAGAACCTCAACTAGTAATCTGGCTGTGACTCCATGACTTCCCCAGCGTTTTAGAAATAAAGTTATTTGAAGCGCCCATTTGTTTTGTCAAAGTTGCTACCTAACCTCAAACTAATACACTATCATATACAATTTTCTTCACAGGGACGTAGGCTCTAAGATAATATTCGTCGCTATGTATCCAAAACCGAAGAAATTGCGAGAAAATGTAACCTTGAAGTTCAGAGACTTAAAGGTAACAGCAAGAGTAGAATATTATGGTCTGACCTCCTTTGTTTTGAATTGTTTGATATAGATGTTTTTTTTTTTCTCAGGGAGTGGAAGGACGTAAGGTGTGTGCGTTTTGGAGTGGCTTCAGAGAAAGGTTAAAATCGGGAAAGTGTTTTTTTGAATTTTACTTTTTAGTTAAGCGTTCCCCGATCTCAAACAAAATGGAGATGATATTTGTATCATTTTGGGGTTGAGAAATTACCAAAAGTGAATCATCCTACCGTTCTTGAAGACGTCTGACCAATCAGATCTCGCGAGCAGAGAAACAAACAAACAATTGACAAAACATCCCCAATTGAAAATGGTAAAGTTTACTAAACGGCGATGACTGTCAGTTAAGTCTGTTTTTGAGAAAATTTTATCATTTTTTATTTACATGTGTTTTGGAGTTACTGTACATTGTTTTTTTTTGTACTGCTGATAGAATAGTAATATTCACTACAATAATTTGTTGACTGTTATGGTTTCCTTCATATTGTGCGTTTGTTTGACGTTTTTCCTTTGCTTATTCTAAATTTATTATTATTATTGTTAAGATCCACCCTAATCTGCCTAAGAGGATCCAGAACAGTTAGAAGGCCCAAATTGGATTTTACTAATGTAGACCTAGATATTCAGAGCTCAGAGGCTGCCATTTGTTAGTTAGTTTCTTTCTTTTTTTAGACAATTTGTTAGACGACATTTTCTTGTATTTTTTCGATTTTTTACGGATTCTATCTTGATTTGTAAATAGTTTTGATGATTAGAGTGAATTATCGTTATCATAGTGTGTATCCTCTAGTTTTTTTTATACATTTTACTAGACATTATAACACTTTTTTTTTCAAGCATTTTATCATAACTTTTGTTATAATTTTTGTGATTATGGTGAATAAGGGATTATTTTTATTTAAAAAAAAAATTATTATTATTGTAATCTATGTTATCATCATTCTCATTATTTCATTTAATTTTTTTAATCACGTAAAGTAGGGTGTAATTGTCGTTCTCGCATTTACTTCAAAACTGTACCCAGCCCCATCGCAAGGTCTGACAATCCACCTATCAAAACTCACATCTATGCGCAATAGGATGGGATAATTAGTGAGCAAACGATAAATTCATTACCTCATTCACTTTTTTTCTGAAAGAATTCCTCCCGAAGATGTCATTTCTCCTCTTTCAGATCTGCGTCAGACGGATTTTCAGAAGAGGGATGTCATCCTATTACATCGGAAAGAGACTCAGAAGAAACAATTTGTAGTTGCAATCATTTGACACACTTTGCTGTGTTAGTGGACTACAACAGTGACCTAAAGGTAACGAGTTGATTTATTCTCCAGCTCAAGCATTGTTTTAAAATACAACTGCGTTAGGGTAATAAGTGTATGTTTAGTTGCTCTTTATCACATTTATGACGCAGCTCACCGAAGAGGATGAAACTATTCTGGAAATTATTACCTACGTGGGACTAAGCCTTTCCATTGTTGGGATACTTTTGACAATTATTCTATATTCCTTCCTCACGTAAGTACTATAAACATACGGCTAAAGAGTTAGTATTAACATGACTTCGAAGATATCGGGCCTAAATAAAACTAATTCATTAAAATAATAATAATAGTAATAATAATAATAATACTAATAATAGTAATAATAATAATACTAAGTCAAAGTCAAAGTCTCAAACTTTACAATTTCAATGATGTTAACTGACGACAATATGGAAGATAACTTACAACAACCTCCACGCAAACAGAGGCTCAAGTGGACGGACGAAATGAATTCAACATTACTCGATTGTAAAAGGAAAGCCCAACAAATGGTTAAATCTAATGCGCCCGAAGTTATGGATGGAAATCGTAAGAAAGGCTACATGGAAGAGATGAAGGAACTCTGGGATCAGCAAGGTTATGAACATCTCGCAATACCCAGAAACAATCTACGAAATCAAGCTGCTCGATTAGAGAAATTGCTAGGCAACGCAATGAACAATATTATGGATAAGGTTGGACAACGGCAGAGGAGCGTAATCGAAAGAAATTTTGCTGAAAAGAATGAAAGCATTGACAATATTTCGAATTATCAAAATGCTAATAAGCCTGAACAAGGAAAAAAATTTGCATATCGAGCAAGATACAACTCCACTGGGACCGACACAAAGACAAATAAGTGATGACGCACGCGCGCTGATAGAAAAGTCGTCGCAAATGTTTGATCTAGTGCGTATCGATCCAGGTAACTATGAAAATCGGGAAATCGACACCAGAACTAGAGAAAAACCAACGAAGAAAGACATTGAAAACATCAACATCGCCGTGAATGAAATAGTTAATCAACATAATGTATCACCGACTGAAGACCCATTTATTTATTTATGGATGGTTAATTGTACACTTTATTCAACCACAGCCGCTTTTCTACTGTTAAAACGATGGGAAAGATCTACTGTACAAGGCGCACCGAGGAAACAAAACTCCGAAGGAAAAAGAAAGAATTTCAGGGCAAAGCTAGAGACTTAAGGAAGAAAATATCTATCGCCAAGGCGGAGTTAGAAAGGCTAAGAGAAAACAGAAAATTGTACTTGCTGGATGTCCATCATTAGCTCAGTCCAAGTACTTAGAAAGGCACAATTTTGCTTTCAAAGTGTTCTTCTTTGAGATGCTCAAAGACCTATAGCTCGCTGATAGTACTGCACCATGGCTCTCAGATGTGAAGCCCAAACCTCTTTAAACAAATGATAAAACAAGAATATGGATAGCAACAGCGATTAACAAGGATCAAATTGTACTACATAAATGAGTAGCATATGTTGTCAAAGAGTGCTTTGTCATTTTTTCTCTGTTTTTTTTTTTTTTGTTTGTTTCAACAGAGATGTACGTGAGCCTCTGTCTCAAATACGACTTAGTCTTTCTGTGTCCCTCGGAGCTGGACAAATGATCTTTCTCGCCGGTATAAACGCCACAGAAAATACGGTTGGTGACTTTTCCAATGATATTCGTTAATTGAATAAATTAGTTTTCAGGGCGTTATACATTTTGTGAAGTAAAGCATAAAAAAACAGCAACAACAGCATCAACAAAAACATATTTTTCCTCTTGCAGGCTGCATGTGTTACAGCAGCAGTATTCATGCAGTATTTTTTGATGGCCGCTTTCTTTTGGATGCTGGTTGAGGGAGTTTACCTTTACCTGTTGGTTGTAAAAGTTTTCAACATCACTGAAAAGATGCACATGTATCACGTCATGTCATGGGGTATTTTCATTTCACCTGTTGTGAGTCATTGATGCGTTGATTATTTTGAGTTACTTTAACTTCCTCTTATCTATGTTTAGGTTCGCCCATCATCGTGATCGGCATTTCACTTTTTATTACTGCTGGAAAAGGTGGACTTCAAAGTTATACCAGTGACAAATAGTAAGAAAATCAGTGTGTGTCTGCTACTTCCTAACCTTTCTCCGTCTTCCCTTTCTCCTTTTTCTAGGTTAAATCGATGTTTTGTTGTGTTTTGATTTATGTTTTACTTTGTAGGTGTTTTGACACCGTGGCGGGGTGGAGCATTTTCTTCAAAATTCTTTCTCTTTTTTTTTTTTCTCCTTTCAAGTTGTTGGCTCTCCTCCACTAACAATCTCATCTGGATATTCATCTCATTTGTGCTGTTCATTGAAGTTGTAAGTCCTCGATTAATAGACTCCTAATTATTACTTCTTTTATACCAGGACTGATCGACTGCTGTTGGAGGCTCCTCTTTCCTTTTTTCCAACGAAACAAAGACCGCCTTCCTGTACTCGACAACTAGGCTCAAAGTTTACAATATTTCCAATTCTTTTCATTTACACGATCGATGTTTTCAATATTCTGATCTTTGCAGTATGAATGAACACTTGACATTTCTGAACCTAGAAATTGCCTAGCTTACCGCTGACTTTGCTTTATTTCTCCTGAACCAAGTAACTAGAAACCCGAGTTTGCATTCCCTGTGGGATTGATATTTTTATTATTTCCACTCCACAAGACAGATAGCATATTCTTTACCTTATGACATCTGACATGTATTTCTTGCTTTTTTCAGCTCAACATTTTGATACTCGTCCGAGTCATAAGAGAGATGACCACACTTGTGCAACCTTTGGGGGAATACAACCATATTCAGCAGATAAGGTTGGATAAAAAACTTTAACGTTTTACCAAGCAATTTTAATGAATGGGGTTACGGTAAAGATGAAGAATACACAGTTTCTTTAGGGACTCTTCAAGAAATGTAAAAGAATAACAGCTCTAAGGTACCTGGTTAAGTTTCTTTCGAGTTAATAATAAACAATGAGGCGTATGACTTCATCTAAAACGTTCACTAATCATGTCAAGGAAAGGAACGTCTATTCCGCAGTTTATACATTGTTGTTGTTGTTCTTCTTCTTCTTCAGACTTAGCATAAAAACATGCGCGGTGATGGTTCCACTATTGGGCTTTACATGGCTATTTGGTCTTTTTTTACCAATGCACAAAACTTTTGCTTACATTTTAACCATCTTTAACTCTATACAGGTGAGCTTTTGAGTAAAACTGTCAAACATCAGTTTTGTGTGTTCGTGTTTGAATGCTCAGACTACTTATTCTCGAAATCTGCACCCTTTCACAACCATCAAATAATATTTCTTTTTTCCATCAGATGAAACTTGATCTATTTAATTTTTGTCCCCTTTTTTAATGACCTTTCATAAGGAAACTAAACGCAATAATAAACCCCCTGCATCAAATATCTCATACGACTCTCAGCCACTGCTTACCAGGATCTAAAACTTAAGTTTGATCTTTAAGTAATTTTCTGTTTTAGGGTTTCCTAATTTTCGCCTTTCATTGTGTGCGAAACAGCCAGGTAAGGACATAAAAAAACTGACGATGTAAATGACAGGAATTATAATTTTCGATATCATTAAGGATTTGAGTGCTCAGCAACTGATATTTCGTTGCCTATTTATAAAAATCCACAGATTAGAGAGCGATTTAAAAGGAAGACGAACACCATTTTTCCATCTACAGCAGATAATGGAAACTCCATAAAGAAATCCACAAAAATTAATCCAAGTGGTGCCAGCGATATGCGAGCAATTGAACTGCAGTCTTTCAATGATTAGCTGTATAATTGAGAAAAAAGTATCAATTGACGTTTGGTAATGCGCTGTCACTTAATACAACAGAGTTGATGAAGGTAGATCGATGTTCAGTCTAGTTGTGTCTGTGAAGTTAGCTGGGTCGTTCTGATTATTGCGACATGTCTTAAATGAGGTGACTATAATGCTAACCCTTTACCATTAAGCGCGCGTTAAAGTACTGCACAAATAGTTTGGCTAGAAATGAAAAATTTGGATGTGCCCTTTGCCTCCTAAGTATTTTAGATGTAAACAAACGCATTTTCTAGATCTTTAACTTTGCTTGTATCAGATCCAGCTTATCGTTATGAATGTTAAACACTCTACCATCCCGTCCAGTTAGAAAATCATTTATGAAATAAATTACATTAACAGAAACATCCGTATCGATACGATCTAGAAAAATGTCTAAACATGGACAATCTAAAAATATTTTTTTTACATGTATTAAGTTGCTTCTTGTGTGGCTTGTCAGATACATAAATCTTCAGGAATAGCAAATGACGTGAGCTGTAGCTCGTTTTGTCCATAGGGAAGCAGTGCTGAGCAACGTTTCGTCGATATAAAAACCAGGGTGGGAGAGAAATAACGCGGCAGATGAGTCAGTATTTGAAGATCCTGAAAATAAACTCTTGTCCTTCTTTAGAAGGTTCTCCTTTACTCTAGTTTCTAAATATTTTGCCAAAGAAAGGAAAATTCTGGTACTTAGCAAAATGCAGTTTAAGACCCAAGGCAGCATGATTTTCAAGCTTCTTTTGAGCTTTATGCAATAAGATATAAGGACGTTTTCTGGAATGAAGTGCTGCGTGCTAAGAACCATTTTATGATGAATCCAGTTTCCAGCCCTTACTCATATAGCTGGAAATGAAAAAGGGTATTGTTTTATGTCTGTGTGTTTGGCACCCAGGGACTGGACATGGACGCTGACGGAGATTCAGGGCGTCTGATAATATGAAGGTTTCACTCAAACTATGGGAGAGCGTAGCTGACCAGACAAGCTTTCGGAAAACAGACAGCTGCTTGAAAACTATCAGTAGCTTTTGTGAAATTAGCATTTGTCCTAAGGCTTGAACCAATAGTCTCTTTCTCTGTCCCTTCATTTCTCTTCATCAAACGGATTAGAACAATTTAACAGTGCAAGGAGGTTAAATAATGTTTTAGTAATTGAAGACAATTGCAATGCCAAATGGTCTATCTTCTAATTGCTCTAAATTTCCCTGATTTGTATAATATTGCAAAACATCTTCTAGACGTTGACACAACATCTATAAATTAAGTTAAATGATCGAAATATTGTACTTTTCAAGACGTTTAGTTAATTTCACCTTCTAGATATGTTGTTTTGCTTTTTTTAATTTTTTTTCAATTTTTTATTTTTTCCTTTTCAATAATCTAGTGAGCAGCACTTCTGCAAACAGTAGTTGCAAAACTTCTTTACTCCCCGACGCGTTTCGTCTAACTGTCATAGACTTCTTGAGGGAGTTTTACAAGTAGAACTAAACGCCTGTATTTATAAGCCAAAGTTACGGGGGCCAATAACCATGGAGGCTTGGCCGGACTTATAAACAGGCACAGACGAGGTTGTGAAAAATTTTAAAAAGACCCCACAAGTACCACAGCCCTAATGACTGTCGTTTTAAAATAAAGGACTTACTTACACATTTACTTTCTTACCACCACCCTGTAGAAATGAAGTAAGCGTCGCTCTTGTTATAACAGGTCTTCTCGACCTTTTACAGAAAAAAAAAGTGACTAGTTTTTTCCCGAAAAAAGGGATTGGGAGAGGTGTGTCAATGTAATTTTTATAATTCTCATATTGCTTTCGCTTTTTTTTTTTTTTTGTCTATGTTTTTGTTTGTTCGTCTGTGTTTGCGCTGTCCAAGCCAAAATCGTCTATCGGGTAAGCTTCGTGAAAGGACAGAGATCGGAAGTTTTCTTCTGCTGCATTTTGTAAAAACCTGTCGCACTCTGTAATAAAACTGTCGCACTTTGCAATTAAAAAAAGTTGTCTCACTTTAGCGGAAATAACTGACCAATGCAATTTCTCATAAAGTAAAATGTCGCCCTTTCTATTAACACGTATTTGTCGTACTTTGTAATTAACTTGGTACAAATGCTCCGAGGGCGAGTACACCCAACGATCAAACGTCATTCTTGTTAATAACGACAATCATAACAATAATGATAACGATGGTCATAATGATAATAATGATGATGATAATTCTCGAATTCTTCCCTCCGTTAATGTTTTTCAAATTAATTACAAAGTAAAAATACTGTTATTATAAAGTGTGACAGCTTACTTTTTTTCATATACGTTGGTCCGTTGTTACAAAGTGCGACAGGTTTTTGTGTATTATTATTAAAAAGCGCGGTAGGTGTTATTATAAAGTGCGACAGAACAGCTATTAATCATTACAAATATTGTTGAACGCGCGGTGGTTACAAGATATTGGCTATGGGAATAGTATCTTAATTTCCTAGAAGTTACAAGTTGAATTGAATAAGATCGCAGACACGAACAAGTATGGAAACTTTAAGTGAGACTCTATGCATACCTTGTCCTTTTATCTAAATGAGCAGATCGAAGTTTTATCAAATTGAAAATAAGAATTATCTTACCATATAGTGTAAAAGTTGGTGTATAAATAGCTGGATACGAAAACGATGGAATTATCAAATGATTTAGAAGGAGCAGGGATTTCCTTATTGCAATTAAGTTAAAAGGGATAGAATGGTGACATTGGAGAATTCAAGTAGAACGTCGCCTTTAAAAAAACTATCTCGGCTTAAAAATTGTTTTCTTAAATGTCGGGCTCCGCTAATGCGCCTCATGCACAGCGTAGTTGCTAGAATGCCAGACTAAGAAAATCATACTTGAAAAGAAAGCCGAACAATCATCAATGCCTTCATTGAAGTCCTTAAAGTACTATAGTCTTCAATCAAAAGGAAGCTGGTCATTATGTAAACCTGTACCTATAGGATAATTATGATATATGTATAACGGGTCAAACTCGTCTGACTCTTCTGATTTTCCAGTGTATTTAAGTTACGATAGTAATTATAAAATTCGAGCGAATGAACAATTTACATATACAGGGACTCATTTGTTTGTGAGCTTGGTTTTCTTAGTTTTTGAATGACTTATCAACGTCTCATCATTAAATAATAAGTTAATAATCTCGGACCTTAATCAGCGAAAACCGAAGGAGGCAGATGTTTGCAATCTCTTCTCAGGAAACTGTCTATGACACTTAGCTACCCTTCAGGCTTGAGGTCGTAGCGCATTGGAGGATCGGTGGGGGAGGGC